GAGTCCAAGAGGTTGAGGCTTCAGTGAGTCATAACCATGCCACAGTGCTTCAGCCTGGGCACCTGAGACCCTATCTCAAAATAATTTAAAAATTAAATATCTGGGCTGGGTGTGGTAACTGACCCCTGTAATCCCAGCACTTTGGGAGGCCAAAGTGGGTGGATCACCTGAGGTCCGAAGTTTGAGACCAACCTGACTAACATGGTGAAACCCCATCTTTACTAAAAATACAAAAATTAGCCAGGTATGGTAGCACACACCTGTAGCCCCAGCCACTTGGGAGGCTCAGGTAGGAGAATCACTTGAACCTGGGAGGTGGAAGATTCAGTGAGCTGAGATGGCTCCACTGCACTCCAGCCTGGGCAACAGAGCAAGACTCCATCTCCAAAAAAAAAATTACATATCTGCACAGTCCCTGCATAGATGTTGCACTTGTTGTTTACACTGCTCCCTACCAAGCTAGTATTACTGCTGACCTTTCTGATAAGAGAAAGGATTGCCCTGATCCTCATTTCTTTCTTTTTTTGAGACGGAATCTCACTCTGTCTGTTGCCCACGCTGGAGTGCAATGGCACGATCTCAGCTCACCGCAGCCTCCAACTCCTGGGTTCAAGCGATTCTCCTGCCTCAGCCTCTCGAGTAACTGGGACTACAGGCACGCCTGTAGAGACAGAGTTTCACCAGGTTGTCCAGGCTGGTCTCCAACTCCTTACCTCAAGTGATCCACCCGCCTAGGCCTCCCAAAGTGCTGGTATTACAGGCGTGAGCCACCACACCTGGCTTGATCCTCATTCTTTAATTGACTTATGTTGACACATCCACAGCGAAGACAGTAAACTGTCAGATCATCAGCCTACTCCATCAAAAAAATAAAGAAAAGGCCTGGCCAGGCGCGGTGGCTCACACCTATAAACCCAGCACTTTGGGAGATGGAAGTAGGTTGATCACCTGAGGTCAGGAGTTCGAGACCAGGCTGGGCAACCTGGTGAAACCCCGTGCCTACTAAAAATACAAAAATTTATGGTGGCACGCACCTGTAATCCCAGTTACTTGGGAGACTGAGGCAGAAGAATTGCTTAAACCTAGGAGGTTGCCACTTCACTCCAGCCTAGGCAACAAGAGCAAAACTCTGTCTCAAAAAAAAGAAGAAGAAAAGTAGGGGTAAGGCCGGGTGGCAGTGGCACATGCCTGTAGTCCCAGCTACTCAGGAGGCTGAGGTGGGAGGATCACTTGAGCCCAGGAGTTCTGGGCTGTAGTGCACTATGCTGATCAGGTGTCCGCACTAAGTTAGGCATCAATATGGTAACCTCCCAGGAGCAGGGGACCACCAGGCTGTCTAAAGAGGGGTGAACCGGCCCAGGTCGGAAACACAGCAGGTCAAAACTCCTGTGCTGATCAGTAGTGGGATCGTGCCTGTGAACAGCCACTGCACTCCAGCCTGGGCAACACAGCAAGACCCCATCTCTAAAAAAAAAAAAAAAAAAAAAAAAAAGAAAAAGAAAAAAAATGTAGGGATAAGATGGGAATAGTCCAGAGTAAGAGAAGTATGTATATAATACAGTGAGTTCATCTCTTTAAAGGTTAAGCAAGAGAGAAGTTTGGAAATACATCTTCATCTAAGAAAAAGTATGTTGCTTAGAAAACAGACAAGAAGTTAGAGAACTATCTTATGGAGAAGTAGGAAAGTAAGTACAGGGAAAAGTTCTGGAGTAATACAAAGGTCTAAAAATCAGTGGACAAGAGAATGCCCATATTTCCCTAGAATTTACATTAATAATATGTAATCTCTCAGGCTGGGCGCGGTGGCTCACGCCTGTAATCCCAGCACTTTGGGAGGCTGAGGTGGGTGGATTACCCGAGGTCAGGAGTTTGAGACCAGCCTGACCAATATGATGAAACCCCATCTTTAAAAAAAAAAGTTTATAATAATAAAAAAAAGGAAAAAAAAAATCCGGTGACTATGTACCATTTATCATAATCACTAGTAACCATAATGCAATTAAACCCAAGGTGCTATCTACAGAAGGCGAGCAGGCTCAAATTAGCTCTCTTAGAAGCTGAACTATCAGTCTTTCTTCTCACAGAGTTGACATAAATCTCTCAGCTCTCTAAGACAATTAAGAAGACACAAACTAGCGCCTTCTCTAGTCACTGCGTGGACTCCACCCCATGGACAAGAAACACTTGAAGAACTACCTGTTTTTACTCTCCTAATAACTTACACTCCCACATGACCAGAATAAACCTTTAAAAGGAGTTAACTGACAAATGGAAAGAAATTAAGACTATGAAAATACTCCACCACCACCACATACATGTGCAGAGGAAACTGTTTACTTGATATATGCAGTACCCCAAATCAATAGTTAAAAGTGCCCACAGTTACCTAAAACTATCTTAGCCTTTCCAGCATGTCCTGGGCAAATATATATATATATGTATCTATCTTAGCCTGACCCAAATATCTTGGTTTTGAAGCAGTGAAGTGTGGGCCTTGTTCTAAAAGTTGGTCCCTTAAAAAAAATCCAAACACTTAAAGCCATGATTAGGCCAGCCAGGGACCCTTGTACATTCATCTAGCTCCCTCAGTTGAAGGCAGGACCATCGACTTAACAAGGGGAGAACGCTGTGAAAGAAAGCTAATGAACTGAAATTTGTTTGGCAAATGAATTTTTCAGATTCTATTCATTACAGTTTTGTTCTTCCCCAACTGGAAAATACCCCTATTCCGCTCACTACAGACTCCAAAGCTTTCAGATGGGTTCCGGCGGGTTCAGGGTGGTATGGCCATACATCAGACCCGTAAGCTTTCAATACAGCCTTTTACTTACAGTTCTGAATTTGAACAGAATAGAATTTCTTACAGTTCTGAATTTTCAGAACTATTCACCATCAACAAGGTATAAAAGAAGGAACACTGGAATAAGCTGGAAGTCCTGAATTTCAACTGACTCTGCAGGCCAACTGATTGGGAGTAAATGGAAAATAGTACCTTAAAAGAGAAGACAGTTGTGGTCTGCTCCTGGCTAGATATATAATCATGAGAAATTTACTTAGGTCTCTAGGACTCACTTTGCTCATCAGCGAATGGAGTCTGACACCATTTGCTGGACACCCCGTCCTGAAAGATTCCTCTTCGATCTAAAATTCAAGAACTACAAAGTATTCTTCCTCTCTTCTTCCCTCCAACACAGATTTTTATGAGAACAGAGAGCATAAGTCTAGCGCTAGACTTTAACTCAAACCAAGGTGCAACTTATATATTTGATGTCTCCAAGAGCCAGCAGTGCTCCACAAAAGTAGATGGAACCAATTAAGACAAGTTATCCAGAAATCCTTCAAGAAGTCATTCTTTACAATTAAAAACTAGTTTTTCAGTCCAATGTCACTTGTGTCAAATGCTCAACACAGTATCTCCGCCAATCTAGCCACATCTAAGGAGACAATCATCCCCATGATACACATTACACATCTGGGTGGGTGACACCAAGTGGCTGAAAAATTCCCACTACATACAACATTTGAAATTATGGAAGTTTTTTGGTTTTTCAATTTTTTCTCCTTCAGAAAGGCAGAGTGAAACATAATCGGCTTACACACCTGCAAGAAACGTTTATTTTAAAAGCCTTTCTTCGAGACTAAAAGAACCAAACAACAACAGAGGTAGAAATTTAAAATTAGAACTATTAAAAAACACAAGTGTAACCAACTCTGAAGTAAAAAGGATTCCAATTTTTCACCGTAAACTACTAAACATGATTTGTGAACAAATCAATTTGGACGTAAATAGTGCTATTCAATGAAGACGACCTGTAACTGCAGATCCAATCAGTAACTAAGATACAGATGTTTAGGTGATTCCTGATCAATACAATGACTTAGACTAAGCATACGGCATCTATTTTCATGCAACATCGCTTCAATCATTTACAGTTTTTTTTTTTTTTCCAGCTGGAAAATAACCCTTTTTCCACTCAACACAGACCCCAAAGCTTTCAGGCGAGTTCGGGCGCGTTCGGGGTGATATGGCCATAGACCAGAATCCTAAGCTTTCAATACGATCTTTTACTTACACAGTCTTCAAGAAGTCTGCATTAAAAGAAAACCTATCCAAAGTATAACTGGACTTCAATCAATATAAAACGGTGATTCACGTTTTTTCGTTAAATGCAAAGGGCAAATGGAGTTGTAAAGAGTTTCTTTCCCATTTCAACTCCAACAGCCACGCGCGCTTTCAGCGACCGGCCACACTGCGCGGCCGCGGGGCCCGGCCTAGAGCCCCCGCCCTGCCCGGCGCTGCCGGGAGAGGAAGCGCCGGGGACCGAGGGCGGGCGGGCGGCTTGGGCTCCACCAGGCCAAGCTGGGCGGGGGAAGGGGCATTGGAGACTACGGGGCGCGCTTCCGGGGACTGCGCGGGCGGGGTCGCCGCTTTGGGGCGTGGGGCAGGGGCTGGGAGTCAGGTCAAGGGTCAGGGGCCAGGGGTGGCTGGGCCAGAAGCAGCCGGTGGGGCGCGGCCGCGGCGGGGCTGCGGCCTGCGGGCCGGAAGAGTGCCGGGCGGGCCGGCCTGGGGCGCCGCGGCGCCTGGAGGGAACCCTTCTGCTCACCTCAGGCAACGAATCCGAGTCCAGCCTCTTTGCGCCGGGGACGCCGGTCTGCGAGTCGCAAGCTCGGAGACGAAGACGGGCAGCTTAAGACGAGACCGCAGACTAACGACGGAACCGACTGAGTACCGCGGGCAGCGGGAGGGGAGCGCGAGGGAGCGAGGGCGGGCGGCGGCGGGAGGGCGGGGAACGACGTGCGCGCCCCCGAGTGCCCAGCGGGCTCGAGCCTGCCCCGTTCGCGGCCCCGCGCACGCGCGCGCACTCACAGCTCATCCACGATTGCTCAGGAGCGCATCCACGCCCTAAAAGCAAAACGCTTAACCAATCATTGTAGCCGCGTGGGGCATCACGGGAACTCTGGGGCTATAAAAGACCTGGTTGCTATTTTGTACTCCCGGAGTCACTCATCCTTTAAGCAAGCTGGGTGGGACTGGGTGCGCGTGCGCGGTTTTAATACTCCCCCCCCCCCCCAAACTGCCAACTCTTCACGCATGCGAAGTAGTCCCCTCTCTGCCTGAATTTACGCGTGCGCACTAATGGGCCGGGCCCCGGAAGACCGCACGCCTGCGTCTTGGGGACTACGGTGACAGTACCGCGGGTGGGGCGTGGGCCAGTCATGGCGGAACCCTGGTCTGGGCAGGCCTTGCAGGCTCTGCCGGCCACGGTGCTGGGTGCGCTGGGTGCGCTGGGCAGCGAGTTCTTGCGGGAGTGGGAGGCACAGGACATGCGCGTGACCCTCTTCAAGTTGTTGCTGCTGTGGTTGGTGTTAAGTCTCCTGGGCATCCAGCTGGCGTGGGGGTTCTACGGGAATACGGTGACCGGATTGTATCACCGTCCAGGTGAGGCTCCCTACGAACCTCCGTGGGCAGGCTGCCCCCGCCGCTACCCTCTGAACTGTACCATTGGGTTCCCCACTATCCCGCAAGAGGCTCATGAGATTTTAGTGTTGGTTCACGGCCTTACCACCCTGAATGTATTTGACCTCGGAAGCTAAGCAGGGTACTTGGATGGGAGGACGTAACGTTGTACCCTGACTCATGCCACCATTCCATTTTACGCCAGAATCCCACCAGTCCACCCATCGCCTTGTATCTATTGCTCGGAACTCTCACCTGACAATACCATTAGTCCCTTAGGACCCTCACCAGACTCCACCAAACAATACCAGTGGCCTCTAACCTGACCTGGGCTGATGCCTGCTCAGATCCCCACCCCAGCCTGCTGCAGCCCTGGATGTGTTTTTGCCTCCAGGTCTGGGTGGTCAGAATGGATCCACGCCTGATGGCTCCACGCATTTCCCTTCGTGGTGAGTAAATCTGTCCATACCGTACCCCCATGCTTGGCATTCCAAGGACACTCCTGTCCTGGTGACAGAGAGGGGAGTTCTCAGGCTATAAGCCCACCAGCTTAATGGCCTTTGCAGCAAGCTTCAAGTCTGCACATAGAGCTCAGGCTTCAAATTTGGATGACACCAGGGTCTGGACAGTCCATCAGCATGCTGTTCAGCAGCCTGTAGGATGGGTGATGGTATTGTCATAATTTCAAAGAGATGGAATGGCAGGTTTGTTGAATTCCACTCCACACTAACCCCTCAGTTGGGAAGGCAGGAATCTCTGTCCTTAGCACACTGACCTCATCAGGGTCAGCCTCCTCTTCTGCAAAACATGGCCTCACTAATCGGGGCATTCACGCAGATAATCTCTGGGCCCCTATCACATGGTGGGGGCCACACAAGGCCCAGAGAACAAAGACAACCCCGGGCCCTGCTCAGGGGGAGCCAGGAATTTATTAGGAGAGGGTAGCAATGCATGGGGCAAGAGTGGTCAGGGCTTCTCCCAAGAAAGACACCTAAGCTGAGATCAAAGGCCACAGGGTGACAAAGTTCCAGGCAAAGGGAATGGATAGAGCAAGGCTAAAAGGGAAGGATAAGGGTGACATATTAGAAGAATAGATGAGACTGTGATGCTGGAGCTTGAACGTGAGAGCTTGTTGGACCCTGGGAGCAACTGAAAGACTAACTCAGCAAGGCCATGGTCTGATCTAATTTGCCTTTATAACTGCCTGCTTCGTGACAAGTAGATAAAGGGGTCCAAAAGTGAGGGCTGAAGGTCAGTTAGAAAGGCTGCCACTGCCCAGGTTTCTGTCTTAGAGAAGAGGCCGGGCCTGGTGGTTCACGCCTGTAATCCCAGCACTTTGGGAGGCCACGATGGGCAGATCCTTGATGTCAGGAGTTTGAGACCAGCCTGGCCAACATAGTGAAACTCTGTCTCTACTAGAAAAAAGTTAAGTGGGCATGGTGGCATATGCCCGTAATCCCAGCTACTTAGGAGACTGAGGCCTGAAAATTACTTGAACCGAGGAGGCAGAGGTTGCAGTGAACCGAGATGGAGCCACTGCACTCTAGCCTGGGCATCAGAGTGAGACTCTGTCTCAAAAAAAAAAAAATAGCCCGAGTGTGGTGGCTCACACCTGTAATTCCAGCACTTTGGGAGGCCGAGGCAGGCAGATCACCTGAGGTTGGGAGTTCAAGACCAGCCTGACCAACATGGAGAAACCCTGTCTCTACTAAAAACACAAAAATAGCCGGGTGTGGTGGTGCACACCTATAATCCCCACTAAATGGGAGGCTGAGGCAGGAGAATCGCTTGAACCCAAGAGGCAGAAGTTGTAGTGAGCTGAGATCACACCATTGCACTCCAGCCTAGGCAATAAGAACAAAACTGTGTCTCAAAAAAAATAATAAAATAAATAAATAAATAATAGGCAGGGCATGGTGGCTCACGCCTGTAATCCCAGCACTTTGAGAGACCAAGGAGGGTAGATCACCTGAGGCCTGGAGTTTAAGACCAGCCTGGCCAATATGGCAAAACCTGTCCCTACTAAAAATATAAAAATTAGCTGGGTGTGTTGGCGGGTGCCTGTAATCCCAGCTACTTGGGAGGCTGAGGCAGAAGAATTGCTCGAACCCAGGAGGTGGAGGCTGCAGTGAGCTGAGATCTCACCATTGCACTCCAGCCTGGGCAACAAGAATGAAACTCTGTCTCAGAAAAAGAAAAAGAGTAATAATAATAATAAAAAATGAAAAGAGCCGGGCACAGTGGCTCAAGCCTGTAATCCCAGCACTTTGGGAGGCCGAGGCGGGTGGATCACGAGGTCAAGAGAGCAAGACCATCCTGGTCAACATGGTGAAACCCCATCTTTACTAAAAATACAAAACATTAGCTGGGCATGGTGGCGCGTGCCTGTAATCCCAGCTACTCAGGAGGCTGAGGCAGGAGAATTGCCTGAACCCAGGAGGCAGAGGTTGCGGGTGAGCCGAGATCGCGCCATTGCACTCCAGCCTGGGTAACAAGAGTGAAACTCCGTCTCAAAAAAAAAATAAATAAAATAAATAAATAAATAAATAAATAAATGAAAAGAATTTTTAAAAACTAGAGAAGGATGGCAATGCCATACGAACATGGAGAACCAGGAGGAAGAATGGGTCTGCAGGGAGAAGGTGCTAGGCCCCAGGTGGGCTGTGGGAGATCAGTAGAGAGGTCTAGATTGTTATGTGACCTTACTGAACCTAGCTTAGCCCCCAAGGAGTTTGGGAGAGCCAATTTCAGCTACTGTTCTGCCCATGGAATAACCCCCCTCTCTCTCCATCACTTTCAGGGAAATGGCAGCAAACGAACCTCTCAAAACCCACAGCGAATAAGGGAAGGCAGCAGAGGGTCTCCAAGGGCATCACTGGGTCTGCTGGCTTCTACACTGAGTTCTGCTGCTTACCAGACCCCAGGGACAACTGCCAGGGGTTCAGGGTTGGTAGCAGGGAGTACCCCAGTGCCTGCGGGGCTGAGCCGCCTCTGCCCCTTGGCCTTGCTCCTTGCCCATGCACTGGGCAAGTGAAGAGTTTGCCTGTACCTTTTCTGGGTGCCTTAAGTAGAGAAATCGTGTTCCTCCTCTCTCAAGGGGTGACAACTCAGGAAGCCTCTGAGTTGGGAAGGCCAACAGTTCTTTTGTCTTGAGTTTCTTTTTCTGTCCCTCTTCACATCCCCCTGAAATATAACCCCATAAAAATTTTTCCTGAGTTGGCCGGGTGCGGTGGCTCACGCCTGTAATCTCAACACTTTGGGAGGCCAAGGCAGGCAGATCACAAAGTCACGAGTTCAAGACCAGCCTAACCAACATGCTGAAACCCCATCTCTACTAAAAATACAAAAATTAGCCAGGCATGGTAGCAGGTGACTGTAATCCCACCTACTCTGGAGGCTGAGGCAGGAGAATTGCTTGAACCTGGGAGTCAGAGGTTGCAGTGAGACAATATCATTGTGCCATTGTACTCCAGCCTGGGTGACAGAGCAAGACTCCGTGTCAAAAAAAAATAATTCCTGAGAGGAAGCCTGAGGTTAACCAGCTCTGGGGTTTGTAAGGCAGGTCTGTTTTCTCCTAAGCCCTGAGTTTTCTGAATCTCATTTTGCCTTGTTGGCAAGGAGCCAGGGAATCCTGACCTGGGCCAGACCTTAAGCTCTGTGGTTACTTAGCTGGCCATTCAGGTATAAGGCAGTGTGGTGTCCCTGCAGGCACCATCCAGATGGAGGCACCAAACACCCACATCCCTAGCCCAACCAGACTTCTCCTGTGAGCCAGGCAAAGGAAATTGTCATCTGCCAACTGTCCTATTCATGTTCCTCTCAGTCCTTCTTGGGGGTAAGCTGGGTGCCTGAAGGAGCACAGCTGAACCCCAGGGGTGGCCTCCTACCCCCCAATGCTTAAGTGCCTATGGGAACTTGAGTCTGTACCTTGTCCCCTCAGGATGGTACCAAGCAGTTAGTGTAGTGGCCCCATCATAGCCTGCAGCCTCATTTCCCATCTAGACCTGGTACAAACCACCTCACAGGCTCAGCTCTTCCCCACTAGCATCTCCACCTTTACGAACCAGGCAGTCCTGCCATGTCACAAAAGGCCAGGGGAGTTTCCAAAGGTGTGGGTGACAAATGCCCCTATAGAAACGCCAGTACCTTTCATCAGGACTCAGCAATTATGTTAAAAAAAAAGAAAGAAAAGAAACAGCAGTACCTGAAAGCACTGTAACCCTGGACCTGCCTCCTTCCCTGATGGCCATACTTCTGCCTCCATCTGCCGGGCCACCAGCCACTTTAGTGACCCCTGCCTACTTCCCCTCTGTTGGATGTCACACTTCCATCTGGCTGCCTTTGCTTAAGCCATCTTTGCGGTAGAGGTGCACTGGAGTTGCCACTATACTGAGGATGATGGTCTTCACAGCGCCAGGCCAACTCTCTCTCTAATACTACCCCACAGAATCAGGGTCTCACATTTCACCCCAGGCTCAACTGAAGATGTGGCTTATTAAACATGGAAGCGCATTGGTTGTTGTGGTTATTCAGACAGAACAAAAGTGTGTGCATGCACAGGGGCAGTGAGAGAGGTAACATCCTGGAGGCTGTTCCCCCTTGGTAGCCAGATGTAGTAACTTGCAGGGAGGGGAGAGGTGATGCCAGCTTCCTGGAGGAGCAGTGATGGAGTGCCCAACAGGGGCAATATCTCCATTCATAGCCTGGCCCCTTTCAAGGGGAACCTATTCTAAGCTTGTCTTGGAAGCCAGGAAAGCAGGCATTGGGTTGGCATTTCAGGAATCCCGTGAACAAAGAACAATGAAGCTAGAGACTGGCAAGTAAAAAGGAAGTTTAATTTTTAATTTTTTGTTTTTTTTCTCATCCATGCCAGTGCAGAAGGAAGTTTAATTTATCTTTCAGGATTCAGTGGAGTCCATTAATGGATACTGAGGCAAAGGTCAGTCCAGGGTAAAGCAAGTCCAGGAGGAAGCTCACCCTGCCCTACAACAGCCCTGGAGCTCAGAACAGGTGGTGAGCCTGCCATGGTTTGCTACTGGGCAGCACACTAGACCAACTTGGAAATGTGGAAGAGTAAATCAGTGTTCCCTCAGCCATCCCCAAGTTTACACACAGGCATAGCAGCCCTACTATGAGTCAGCAATTATTTCTGACTGGCAGTAGGGACAATTTGCATTTATGAAAAGCAAACTGGAGAGGATAGCCTAAGTCCATACTGCCCGTGTTACCACCCTTTGCAATGTGAAAAACCATGGTGAGGTAGGTTGGGCAGGTTTTATCCCCCCCACAAAGGTGAGCCTTTGCTCCACAGCCAGCACCTGGCAGGGTGGGAGAGATGGCAGAACCAAAGCTTCTTATTACCCTCCAGCAGGTAAGAGTAGGTCAGTGGGATCATGGACTAAAACAAGACATTGTGTAAGCTGGTCCATCACTCAGAAGCAGGGTCCTGAAGGAAGCTGGAGTGGCATGAGTTAGGTGGGGAGAATAGGTGGTATAGCCCCTCAACCAGACAATTAAAATCAGCCTCCACCTTAGCTGCCCAACCCTTGTGAGTTCTGCCTCAGCTTCTTGACTAACCCCTTGTAGATTCCTGGAGGGGACAGCCCCACCCTGAGCCATCCTCATTTAAGGGTATAGTAGTTTGTGGGCACAAAGGGCATCTTGCTGACCACAGCCATCTGCTGCTTTCGCCGCACCTCTACCATCAGCTTTGTCCCTGGACGACTGTACTCGCAGGGCACGTAACCCATAGCTACATTCTTCTTCAGAGAGGGTGAGGGGCAGCCACTAGTCACAGTACCTGTCAAGCATAAGCCATGCATCAGCACCATCCTGCAAGAAGTGCCCCCACCCTCCTGGGGAAGAGACAGGGCTTCCCAGCTTCCCTGGTCCACCTACCAATCATGGTACCCTCCATGTTCAGGATGGGACTGTGTGCCCGCATCGGGGCCCCCTCACACATCAAGCCCACACGCCTCCGCTGCACCTTGCCCTTCAGCTGGGGAACAATGACCTTGGCTCCAGGGAAATCCATAGCAGCTCGGCGGCGCTTCCCTGGAGAATGACACATGAAACATAAGCCACAGCACATAGAAGCCCTGGCCACCAGAGGCCCTTATGAGGACTTCAAGTAACACCCATCTAGTGTCACGACCCCTTTGCTTGGGCTACTCCAAGCTCTATTCCTCCCCTGCACTGCCGTGAGTCAGCCAACCAACCACCTCCCACCTTCTAAAGGCCATACTGCCCACCTGCTGAGCATCTTCAGTTTCTAATGGGCAAAGCCACAGTGGCACCTTCAGGAAAAGGAGGCTCAGAAAGGCTGAGTCACTTACTCCAGGCTACACAACCTTAGGAGGAGTCATGGGCTGGCTAGTCTTATTAAGGGTCACCCCAGCTTCCAGAACCCCATCCTTTTAGTGCTGGCCCAGCTCACCCAGTGTCCAACTGAGGCTGCCCTCCACAGGTGTAGTGTGTTCATCAATGTCAGTCCCATACAGGCAGAGGCCTGCCTCCAGGCGCAGGCTATCCCTGGCGGCCAACCCTGCCAGCTTCACCTCTGGGTTTTCCAGAAGAGCTGTTGCCAGGTGAACTGCTCCCGCTGCTGGCACCGAGATCTGTATGAAACACCAGAGGGCAGATGAGAAGCTCCCTGTACTGTACACCCCCTACCCCTCACCCCCATCTCGTGCCCTGTACTGCCTCCTACACCCACTTCTTGACACACCTCCACACCGTCCTCTCCTGTGTAGCCACAGCGGGTCACACGGCAGCCAGACACACCAAACACCTCCATCACAGCACTCGTCATGAAAGGCAGTTTCCTCAGGTCATCTGCCACGCCGGCCTGTAGCACCTGGGCTGCAGTGGGGCCTGGGCCAGGGAGCCAGTGACCAAGTATCCAGGTCCCTGCACCCCTCAAAGCCGGACTAAAGCCTTATTTAGGGACCAGAACAAGCCCTGAGCAAGTCTTACTCTGCAAGTGGGAAAAGATGGCCTTGTCCCTAGCCCATGAAGCCTTGTGGTAGGTAGGAGGAGGGCAAGATAGCAAACTTAAAATTATGGCACACAAATACCACACTTTCTGTACCTCCTTGGTATGGCCTCTGTGCTAAGCAGTCAATGAAACCAGAAAGGCAAAGGCTGGCTCCAACCTCAGCCCAGCGCTCTCACCTTGCAGGGCTAGCAGGGCATTATCCAGCACCTCCAGGCCCACATCTCTGCCCTGGTTCTGAAGCTCCCTGACCTTGTCCTAAAAGACAGAAACACCACATGAGCATCTGGGGCCACTTACTGAGCACCTACCATGGGCTGGACACTGCAGAGCTGGACAGTAGTAAGATGGTGGAAAGGAGAAGGAAGGGGGGCGAGGGGAAGGTAGTGGGCTGATTCCCATCTTACAAGGTCACCCAAGCCCAGGTCTGCTACCTCACACCCTCACCAGAGGGGCCAAGGTCCCCTTCCCCATCCCCGGTAATCCCCCCACCACCAAACTCTGGCATGCTCCAGAGAGGGCCTGCTCTGAAGTCTCATAGCTATTCATTCAGTCAAAAAGCCATTTTCCAGGCCCCTTGTCTGTGCCAACCCTGTCCTGGACAACAAGGATGCTGCTGTATGAACAAGGAAGACAAGGTACTTAGAACACAAAGAGGGGGTACCTGCATGAGGGCCAAATCTTTCTCCCAGCAGCCAGCATTGGATACCACATACAGATGCCCCTCAGAAGTATTGGTTACAATCAAGTCATCTAAGATGCCTCCAGCCTCATTGGTAAACAGCGACAGTGTCCCCTAGGAGCAAAGTGGAGCGTTTTGGCCTCCAGGTCCAGGAGGCCAAGGAGAAGGGTGAACCAGACACATCCAGGGGTGTGTCTTAGCTACTACAAGGTTATGAACCCTAATGTGAAGGACTCAGGGTGGGCAAAGTGAAAAGACTGGGTCCAAGTCCACGGTCTTTGATCCTCACGCACCAAAAAGTTTTCATCCCCTCCCCACCTTGGGGTAGGCACTTCACTGATCTGGTAAGACCTCTGCACCCCTCCCCACTCTTTTTTTTTTTTTCTAGTCAACCAAAGGGACAATTTATGAAGGCTCCAGGGCCATGGGGCCTGGGCAGGAAGCTGCCCTTCCAGGAAGGAAGAGGCTTATTTGACCTTCTTCTTGGGGCGCAGGTTGTTGGTGTGGCCACACTTCTTGCAGTAGTTGACAGCACCGGAGTGCAGACAAGCATAGCACTTGCAGCAGATCATCTTGTCGCAGTTGTATTTCTGGACAAGCTGGCAGAGGGAAGGCTCAATAATGCCATCTCACAGGCGCAGCACCAGGTGCAGGTTGGACTCTTTCTGGATGTTGTAGTCTGAGAGCGTGCAGCCATCCTCCAGCTGTTTGCCGGCAAACATCAGACGCTGCTGGTCAGGTGGGATAGCCTCCTTGTCTTGAATTTTGGCTTTGACATTCTCAATGGTGTCACTGGGCTCGACCTCAAGGGTGATGGTCTTGCCCATGAGGGTCTTCACAAAGATCTGTATCTCTGCGTCTGCAACTCAGCCACCTCCCCCTCCCCACTCTACTGAGAGCCCCATCTCATGCTTAATCTATAACACCTAGGACTTGCTGCTTCACCTACCCAAACCGGGAACAACTAAGCCCATGTGCCAACCCGCAGGACAAAAGCTTCAAAGGCCATCTTGATGATCCCAGGCTCTTCTAAGTACTCCATGGCAGTGCCCCCAAAATACTGGCCTTAGCTTCTCCTCTAGATGGACGAAGAGCCTGAGGTTGAGGGTACATGATCACCTGGGGATCTTGTTAAAATGAAGGTTCTGATTCAGCAAGTCTGCAGCAGTGCCTGAGAGTATATTCCTAACAAGCTCCAAGGTTGCTGGTTTAGAGACCACACTTTTTTTTTTTTTTTTTTTTGAGACGGAGTTTCGCTCGTTACCCAGGCTGGAGTGCAATGGCCCAATCTCGGCTCACTGCAACCTCCGCCTCCTGGGTTCAGGCAATTCTCCTGCCTCAGCCTCCCGAGTAGCTGGGATTACAGGCACGCGCCACCATGCCCAGCTAATTTTTTGTAGTTTTAGTAGAGACGGGGTTTCACCTGGTTGACCAGGATGGTCTCGATCTCTTGACCTCGTGATCCACCCACCTCGGCCTCCCAAAGTGCTGGGATTACAAGCGTGAGCCACCGCGCCCGGCCCTTTTTTTTTTTTTTGAGACAGAGTCTTGCTCTGTCACTCAGGCTGGAGTGCAGTGGTGCGATCTCAGCTCACTGCGACCTCCACCTCCCCGGGTTCAAGCAATTCTCCTGCCTTAGCCTCTTTAGTAGGTGGGACTAAAGGTGCGCACCACCACACCAGCTAATTTTTGTATTTTTAGTAGAAACAGGGTTTCACCATGTTGGCCAGGCTGGTCTCGAACTTCTGATCTCAGGTGATCCACCGGCCTTGGCCTCCCAACGTACTGGGATCACAGGTGTGAGCCACCGTGCCTGGCTAGGGACCACACTCTGAATAGAGAAGGGTTAGGCAGCAGGGATGGTCAGAGAGCAAAATATTGACCTTGGTTTCTGGCTTCCTAGCCTAATGTGGTAAGGCTGGGATATTCCCCTCCCTACAAATGGCTGGGTCTCTGGAAATGACTCAGAGATTTTGTCCCCCAAGACTGCAAGCCTGAAAAGCTCTGTTGACTCATCTCCGTGCCCCTAAGCCTGAGGTAGGGACGCAGCCCACTTGCTGCCTCGTGACTAAGAAAACTCATAGAGCAGAAATAAAAGAAGGGCCCACCTGGTTTGGTCTTAGCTCTGCAATGTCTCCAACCACTAGACTCTCCATCAGCTTCACCCGGTCACTACCACATATTTTGGTCTGGAGAAAGAGATTTAAAGCCTCAGGCCATTGCAACAGCTACAGTCCAAAAGGCCACTAAGCAAGGATGCATCCTCCCTGCTATCCACAGTGCAGTCCATCCCAGCCATATGTAGAACCAAAAGTGACTAACCAGTCTTTTGGTTCTACATGTGGCAAAGATCACCTTCTGATTTCCTGACCTCCCCCAGTCACCCTGTGCAGGGGGACTGCCAGGGAACTGGACAGGACCTTGCACCTTCCTGAAATAACCCTTTTCAAACCAACACTCAGCCCAATACATTAGAGTGGGTGTCACCCATGAAAACCCAAGACATTAAGGTACACCACTTAGTGGGAGCAGGCTAGAAAGATGAGATGATGAGGCCCTCTGAGCTCATTTCCTTGGGGCCATTGACCTATCCATGATACCCCCATGACCTCTAGCTCTTCTGGGAGGGCTGACCTTGGAATCCAGTTCCCAGCAAACAAACCCAAGGAGGGCACCACTGTAAATGGGGAAGAAGGCCTGATCAGGCAGCCAGCGTGCTCCCCTGACTCACCTGCAGCATATGAGACACATCAAACAGCGAGCAGTGCTGGCGTGTGTGTAGGTGCGAGTCAGTGTGACTGTCCCGGTACTGCACTGGCAGACTCCAACCCGCGAACGCCACCATTTTCCCACCGTGGACCAGGTGGAAGTCATAGAGCGGTGTCCTGCGGAGCACGTCCTGCAGGGGGCTGGGCTTAGTGCCACCAGGGCCCTAGCCCCCAGCCGCTTTCCTCCCCCACCCTCCAAGATCAGCACCCTCTATCCCACCTGTGCGAAACTGAGTGGACGATACAAGTCCGGGGAGAATGCCTGCAGGCGAAAGCCCAGATGGGCCACCACACTTACAGCCCTCTGCATCGTCGCCAGCAACGAGTACAGACGGCGCACAGAGGCCACCACACTGCCAGGCACGCCGGGAGATGTAGTCCAAGCCTCTGCTTGGACAGGTCTTGCTCTGGAGCTAAGGATCAAAGGAGGGGGCGGGCAGCCCCAAGGGCAGGCTGGGATTTAGAGCAGAGAATGCGGGAACTCCCAAAGCACAGAAACTGCCTCCGGCTGGCTCTTCAAGGAAGCTCAAGCAATCCAGAGCTGATTGGGCTGCCCAGAACAGAGCCAGGGGCTAGACCGCCCCCTGTAGAACTGCCCTGTCTCCAAAGGGTCAAAGTTCTAGAAAAGGCTGAAAAGTCTCAATCATACATTATAGGACCTCAAGAGAGTAAGGTCAAATGGGGGTGGGGAGAGTGGAGAGGTCACAGCTGGGTGGAGCCAGCCTGGCAGTCTAGCAGCACCACAGTAGTCTGCCCTCACGTAGGGGTCCCCAGCCCTCCGACCAGGCAGACACGGTCAGCCAGCAGTCATGCATTCCACAAGTATTTATTGATCTTGCTGCATACCAGGCCCTGGGCTGCGGACACAGCCACAAATGAAGCATGGTCCCTGCTACCACAAGGTCCTCTTCACTCACACGCACACTGAAGACTACTGCTCCATCACACTTTCAGAAGCAGCTGAGTGGGGCTATGTAAGTAACCTTGCAGGTAAAGTCACCACCTGCAGGAACTCATGGGTGAGAGCAGAGGGTAGCCACCAAAAGGTCACTGAACTCCCCCGAGAAAACTGTTGAGCTGCACACATGTCCAGTTTTCCAGGTCCAAGACATACTCCAGTACTGCTTCATAATAGCCACCAGGGACAAAGCCAGGAAGAATCAGAGGGACACAGGATTTTCTCACATGAAGGAAAAGAAGCCTGCATCACTTAATGGTTGGCCTGAGTTAATGGAGGACCTAGGCCTCTTAAAAGGCACCAATGAGGCCGGGTGCTGTGGCTCACACCTGTAATCCCAGCTCTTAGGGAGGCAGAGGCGGGAGGAGAGCTTAAGCCCAGGAGTTTGAGACCTGCCTGGGCAATATAGTGAGACCCTGTTCTCCACAAAAAGAAAAACAAAACAAAAAAGGCACCAATGAGAACCCTTATTTAGACCCACTCCCCACCATGGTTGAGCTCTCATCATGCTGAGCATGTGTCTTGGAAAGGGGCAGGCCAGGCACAGTGTCTCACGACTGTAATACCAGCACTTTGGGAGGCTGAGGCAGGTGGAGGTTGGGAGTTCTAGACCAGTTCTAGTTCCCGCCGTGGGCCAGGTGGAAGTCATAGAGCAACATGGAGAAACCCCACCTCTACTAAAAATACAAAATTAGCCAGGCATCATGGCACGTGCCTATAATCCCAGCTACTTGGGAGGCTGAGGCAGGAGAATCGCTTGAACCCGGGAAGAAGTTGCGGTGAGCGGAGATTACGCCACTGCACTCCAGCCTGGGCAACAAGAGTAAAACTCCGTCTCAAAAAAAAAAAAAAAAAAAAAGGCAAAGGGGCAACTGGCAGACAGGATAGGGATGTGCTTTGGGCTATATCAGATGGCAGAGAGGTCCCAGTTCTTAGTCTCAGGCCCTGGCTTTGCTAGAGACACTTGCCCAGGCCCTACGGGCACACCCATTTGAACATATATTCAGGAGCCAGCTCAGAAAGCAAGAGACTCAGGCTGCCCAAATCTTCAGCTTTACTTCCTAGGCAGGCAGCAGAAGAGTTTAGGCAGAAAATTTCTTTCTGTGGCATAACACAAAGGGAAAGAAAACCACTAGGAGACACACAGGAAGAAATAAGGTTTCTGTTTCTTCCACAAGTGTCCTAAGTGCCATGGCAGCAATGGCTTTCCAGGTCCATAAATGGAGCAGGTTCTAGTAGGTCAGTCCAGCCCAGCTGCACTGAGGTGAGGGAGCAGGCAGAAGACAGGAATGTGCATGTTGGCAGGAGGGGCAGAGGGCACTCAGGGATTCTTTGTAAGTAAACTAACTGGAGTGTTTTTGGGTAGAAGGAAGAATTTAGTTGCAGCCAGGTGAAGACAGAGCACACCCCTGCCAGGAGCTCATGCTGAAGCAACACAGTAAGCCCTCAAGAATCTTGAATCTGTGAATGTGGCCCAGACAGAACAGGCATGCAGGCAATACTTGGAATACACAGGAAACACACTTCAGCCTCTGGTGGCCCAAACCAAGTCTGGATGGGCACAGAAAGGCCAACATCTTGGCTAGGAACCACCATTCAAGTGTAGGAGAGCAAGTTCAGGTCATAACAGCCGTCCACCTGAAATACAAAAGACCATTAGGTCTGATCTGCTCAGGGCAAAGCAAGCCAAGCAGAGGGAAGCGATCACTTACATCAAAGCGGCCGATCCTCGCAGAGGTGTGACTGGCCCGGATCATCTCTGTCAGTGCCCACATCTGCTGCACCTCGGAGGATACCCTGCTGGGGTCTGGGAGACCCTGCTCCAGAAGGAGGGGTCAGTGGCCATGGTGCCCTTAGGGTTCCAGAGAGGCCAACCTGGGCTAGGGGCCCTCCAGCTGGGACCAATAACATTCTCAGATGGCTTATGAAACATGAGGTTAGGGCCTGATGTTCAGTAGGCAGCCCAGTGCCACACCAGAGATGCCTCAAATCCCACCCCAAGAGGAAGATAGTACCCAGGGGTCCTGGGCCCAGCCCCAGAATTTTATAGGAAGGGGTCCACCTGGCCTAGTGCTGGACACTAGAGCCATTCACACATGGTTCTTACCGAGGGTGAGGGCTTACCTCACAGAGGAGTGCAGGTTGCTCACAGGGCACTGGGTGGGAGAGCCACTTGGGGAAGGTCATGGAGGGGCTCTGCAAAGCAAAGATGAACTGCCCTGAGTGAGACAAAGTAGACAGCTCTGGGACCAGATTCCAAGGTCCTAGGAGCAGAGAGAAGGGCCCCTGAGCCTCAGATACTGGGAAAACTCTGTTTAGGGAACACACAGAGACCTAAAGGGGCAGTCAGACTACCTAAGTTCTCCTGCCATGCAGACAGAGTCCTCAGAAACACAAGCTCAAAAGTATCTCCCAGCACCTAAAGGCTCCAGCTCTGAAAATAGTTGGTAGCCCCAAAGGTCAAGGGACATGGGGACATGGCCTCACCACTCATCATGAGCTTCCAGCATTCACACCAAGCTAACCTCCATGAAGGCCCCCTTCACCATCTTTACCCATTACCCACCCCACCACCTAGCGTTCCCAGTCATAGAAGCCTTCTGGGGAAAGGGCCAGCCAGCAGCTGAGCTAGTCACTTACCTTTGGTCCCTGCTGATAGATCTGCAGCTCTTCCACTGTGAAAGACAACCACAGTGGCGATGGCTGCCGCAGAATCAGGCGTAGCTCCGATACTCTGGCCATGTTACACAGCATCTGACACACACACACACAAGGACCCAGCAAGGACCCAGCTCACTGCCCAGAAGCCTCTCAACCAACAATAAGCCAAAATGCTGCCCACCCCACAGGCCTTTGGGAAGGAAGGAACAGTAGTCCCTCCAAGGCACTTGCCTGATAGTCACAGTCCGGGCCAGACTGGCCCCCTCTTCCCTCTTAGTATATTGACCCATTCCCCCCACCTCTGGTAAGTCCTCATGTGGGCTGCCCTGGCCATCCTGAGGCTCAGCTGACCTGATGCCTGAACAGCGATACATACTCCTGGGCTCCCTCCTCACTGTGTGGGTCAGGCATCAGACAGTAGTCCCGCAGGCAGGTCACCCACTTGGCCGGTGTGTGTGCTGAGGGGTGGTGACGGACACGGATGCTCAGAAAAGCTGTGTAGTAATTCTTGAATGTGATCTCCTGCAACTAGAGCACATACAACCCATTGCAATCAGTCAGACCCAGGCCCGGGGACTGAAAAGCTCAAAGGTCAAAGGCACCACCTCTTCCTTCCCTTTTTTTTTTTTTTTTTTTGGTTTGAGAGGAAATCTCACTCTGTTGCCCAGGCTGGAGTGCAGTGGCACAATCTCAGCTCACTGCAACCTCCAACCCCCGGGTTCAAGTGATTCTCCTGCCTCAGCCTCCCAAGCAGCCGGGACTACAGGCACATGCCAGCATGCCCGGCTAATTTTTTTGTGTTTTTAGTAGAGACAGGATTTCACCATGTTGGCCAGGATGGTCTCAAACTCCTGACCTCAGGTGATCCACCTGCCTCTTCCTTTTTGAATGTACTCTTCTACTAAATTAACAATTTCAACAAGCATCACTGGGGCCCAAAGACAATTCTGGTTTCCTTTTTATTTTTTTTTTTAATTTATTTTACTTATTTATTTTTTAAAGATGGGGTTTCACCATGATGGCCAGGCTGGTCTTGAACTCCTGACCTCAGGTGATCCACCCACCTTGGCCTCCCAAAGTGCTAGGATTACAGGTGTGAGCCACAGCGCCCAGCCGATTCTGGTTTCCTAAAGGTGCTCACAGTCTAAATGAGTAGGTCATGGAAACAAACCATGACCACAGATCTTGCCACATGTCCAAGATGCTCCTAGAGGGCAGAGCTCTAACCCTGAAAGAGGCAGAAATGTGCATATGAGGCCTGAAAGAGAAAGAGTTCACCAAGTGGACTAAGAAATGTAGATAACATATGTGGGTACGGTGGCTCTCACCTGTAATCCCAGCACTTTGGGAGGCTGAGGCGGGTGGATCATTTGAGGTCAGGACTTTGAGACCATCCTGACCAACATAGTGAAACCCAATCTCTACTAAAAATACAAAAAAATTAGCTGGGCATGCTGACATATGCCTGTAGTCCCAGCTACCCAGAAGGCTGAGGCAGGAGAATTGCTTGAACCCAGGAGGCGGAGGTGGCAGCACTTTGGGAGGCTGAGACAAGTGGATCTCAAGGTCAGGAGTTCGAGACCAGCCTGGCCAATATGGTGAAACCCCATCTCTACAAAATAAATAAATAAATACATTTTAAAAAATGTAGATAACATAAAAGTAGCATACACAGGAGAATCAGGAAAAAAAAAGTAGCATATACAAATAATTACAAGAGGGTGAGAGAACCTGGTGTACCACCGGAACAGCCAGTGATTCAGCTTGGCTACTGCAATGGCTCTTGTCACTGGATACTCACCAGAATCACCCAAAAAAATTTGTTACTAGGTCAGGCATGGTGGCTCACGCCTGTAATCTCAGCACTTTGGGAGGCCGAGGCGGGTGGATCACCTGAGGTCAGGAGTTCAAGACCAGCCTGGCCAACATGGTGAAACCCTGTCTTTAAAAAAAAAAAAAAAATACATATATATATATATATAAGAAAATTTGTTACCAAATAAATTGTCCAGGCTCCACCTTAATCTATTAAGTCAGGATTTCCAAAACTGGGTTCTTTAATTAAGTTTGCCAGCTGATAGTAAGGAACAGCTTGGGGGAGAACCACACACTACAGCACAAAGCTCATGAGACAAAGAGACAGGGTGGGGCGCAGGGCTCAAGCCTGTAATCCCAGCCCTTTAGGAGGCTGGGGCAGGTGGATCACCTGAGGTCAGCAGTTCGAGACCAGCCTGGCCAACATGGTGAAACCCCATCTCCACTAAAATTTCAAAAAATTAGCTGGGCATGGTGGTGGGTTCCTATAATCCCAGCTACTTGGAAAGATGAGACAGGAAAATTGCTTGAACCCAGGAGGCAGAGGTTGCAGTGATCACACCACTGCACTCCAGCAACAAAAGTTAAACTCCGTCTCAAAAAAAAAGGAGAGAGAGACAAGTGGGACACAAACACAGAGACACAGAGAGCTCTCAATGCCATGCCATCTGAGGTAGGTTTTGCCTTCTGTGTTGAGTCATGCAGTGTCCAGTACCTCTATCAACTACTGATGCAGAAGTGGTGCAACTGGAGATTGGAGACTGTCAACTCGAGTTATTGGGGGAATAGTGATGAGGTACTTGACCTCTAGCAGGGACTATAAGAAAGGGAAGGAGGCAGGTTTTGGGGTAAATCATTGCTTAGCGATCCCCAACTGTGGCCAGGGCCAAAATGACCCCTAACCTTTTTTTTTTTTTTTTTGAGATGGAGTTTCGCTCTTGTTACCCAGGCTGGAGTGCAATGGCGCAATCTCGGCTCACCGCAACCTCCGCCTCCTGGGTTCAGGCAATTCTCCTGCCTCAGCCTCCTGAGTAGCTGGGATTACAGGCACGCACCACCATGCCCAGCTAATGTTTTGTAGTTTTAGTAGAGACGGGGTTTCACCATGTTGACCAGGATGGCCTCGATCTCTTGACCTTGTGATCCACCCGCCTCGGCCTCCCAAAGTGCTGGGATTACAAGCGTGAGCC